TTTCTATCCAAACAATAATATTATTTATCATCATTATGATTGAAATATTATTATTGAGTATTGTAAAGAAATATAAATAAGAATTAATTATTTAATGTGTTAGATGGTGTTGAAATACCAATGAAATGTGTAATAAGAATAGTAAAAGAATTATTAATGAAATATATTGAATAAATGAATAAAAAGAGAAAAGAAAATGAATAAGAAAATATAAATGAATAAATGATAATAAAGATAATACAAATAAGAAATACAGAATGTTAAGAAACAAAATAAAGATAAAAGAATATAATAAGAAATGAAATAGAAAAAGAGAAAAAGAAGAAATGAATAAGAAAAGATGATAAAAACAAAAAGATATTCAAAAAAATATAAAAATCAAATATAAAAAGTTAAAAAAATAATAAAAGAAAAACAAAAATAATAAAAATAATAACAAAAAAAGAAGAAAATAATAACAAAAAAATAAATTAAATAAGAAATTATGAAATAAACAATTAGAAATTTAATAAAAATGATAATTAAAAAATAAACTAATTATAGATAAATAACAATAATATTAAATAATGTTATTTTATTATTAATTTTATTATTTAATATTGTTATTTAAAATTAATAAAATAATAATAAATAAAATAACAATAAAAAGTAGTTAATTAAGTATTAATAGAAATATCTTCTATTGTTCCTTGCTCAGGGGAGACTAATCCCGTCCCTTCGCTTAAAAGTATTTGTTCTTCAACTTTTGGCTTATTCTTTGCTTCTAGTTGTTGAACGGTGAGAATTTTCTTTTCTTGTTTTGATATTGAATAGAGTATTTTAAACATCAATTATTTAAATATTCATTATTTAATTTCTTTTTAATTTTGATGGGTTTAAATTTCTTCTTCTTTGGGTTTAGATTTCTTCTTCTTTATTTTCTTATTTTAAGGAGAGCATATAATTACCACTGTATTGCTTTGGGCTAATATTCTTTTAGCCTCAACCACTTGACCCTTTTCCTTTGATAATCTTTCTTGTATTATCAAATAATACTTGTATTCTAACAAGTAATAATAACATCTTTATAAATACCCATAAATAAAATAATAATAATAAATAAAATGAAATGTTATAAATGTGTATTTAAGTATTTAATCATCTTATTATTTTAATCTGATATTAATTAAATTAAAATGGATGAGTTAATAAACAAGAACACTCATTTCTTTAAAGAAGAAATAGAAACAATTCCAAATATTCAACAATCAATTGATGATATTAATAAACATTATCATTATTATTTAGGAAGTATTAAAAATGAAATATTCAAAATAAAAGCAGATGAAACATATTCAGAAGCTATTAAAAGAGGAGAAGGAATATTTGATAGAATTGATGAAACAGAAAGAAGAAGAAAAATAATAATAGAAAAAAGTCAAGAAACAATTAATCAAACAGAAATATTAATAGATAAACTGATAAAGATAATAGAAGAATGTAATTCAGATGAAGAAATAATAAGTGAAACACGAAATAAACTAATTAATAAAGTCATTTCAATTGAAGAAATGAGTATGAAAGATAAAATATTCAGAACACCAGAAGAAGCAGATAAAATCACAGAATCATTTAACAAAAAGAAACAAGAATGGAATACACATTATAGTGACTATTTCGAGATGAAGAAGAAAAAAGAAGGTGATGAAGAAAAAGAAATGAAGAAACAAGAAGAAGAAAGATTAGAAATAATGAAAGGAATGAGTACAATTGAAGAAATGAAACAACTAGAAGAATGGACAAATAGAAAAGTATTCAATACACTATTTGATTCAGATATTGATGGTTGGGGTGTTGGTACATCAATATTTGATAAAAAAAATAATAAATAAAGAACATATAATAATTATTATTGAAAGCACAAGTAGAAATAAATTTGGAGGATATGTTAATGTGAAAATTGATACAGTTAATGATTTTATAAATGATCCAAAATCATTTTTATTTTCAATAGAATCAAAAGGAAGAATAAAAGGAATGATGAAATTTGATATTAAAGATCCACAACATGCATTTTATTTATTTGATCAAACAGAATATAGTTTGTTTGGATTTGGATATGGAGTTGGTGATATTACTGTTTGTAAAGAAAATTATAAAACAAAATCATATTGTAAACAACATTCTTTTGACTATAAAGGAATAATAAATGCACTTTGTGGAAACCAACTTCCAGATCGTTTCATACCACAACGAATCATTGTAATTGAAATGAAATGATTTTTATTCATTATTGTTATTTGAAATATAAAAAATAAAAAAAGAATGTAAAATAAAATCAATAATTGAATATGAACATTTCATCTATCAATGAATAAAATAATGAATTATTACTGGGTATTGAATATATTAATATTTTAATGGTTATTTATTTGAGTATTTATTTGTTGATTTTATTATTCATTAATTTTAATTTATTATTATTTATTAATTAAAATGAAAAAGTTAATTGTTATTTTATTTCTATTTATTATCTTTTTTTTTGTTTTTTGTTTTATCATTTTTTATTTTTAATTCATTTTTATTCAAATTTATAATAATCAAATTATAATATTAATACAAAATAATAAACAATAAATTAATTACACAAACAATATTTAATTAATTAACAAATACATACAAATATAATATTTAATCAAATCTCATTGAATAATTCACATTCCATCTTCTTTATATTTAATTTCATAATAAATTCAAAATAATTTTCAAATAACAAAATATAAATAATAAAAATAATAATAAAATATTCTATTAACTTTATTTGATTTCTTCTTTTATTTAAAATATTTTTGCTGATTATTCTTCATTTTTATTAAGTCTTAAAAAAGAACTTCTAATTACTAATAACAAAATGGTTCATTTAGAAAATGTCTTTTTAAAGAATGTACTATTGTATTTACCAACATTAAAAGATGTTGGGAGATTTGCACAAGTATGCAAATCATGTGAAGAAGCAATCAACACGATTTATGTTAATCCATATGAATTAACAATCCATCATTCATTTGATGAAATTATTCCATTATTTCCTAATTTACAAACATTTTATGTTAGAAGATGTCCAGAAAGATTATACAAAATATCAGCAAATGATATTCCACTTATTGAAATAGGAGAGTGGAGTGAGTCATTACAACCTACACAAGTATTTAATACAAAATGGTTTTGTTCAAAAATAAGGAAATTACGAATGACAGATTTTTTCTACATGAAAGATACAATAAAACATCCAGAATATTTTACACAATTACAAGAATTAGTTATTTTAAATAATAACGACTTAAATATAATAATAAAGTTACTTAAATTACCAACATTAAAAAAAGTAATTATTTTTTGTGGTATGAAGGAGTTTCAAGAACTTTCAGAATTATTTGATTTCAATAAATACAAACAAATCAATTTCGTTATTATTTTTGTTTTAACTGAATATAGTTGTAAGAACACCAAATTAATAGAAATAAATTATAACCAATTTATTAATTGTAAATTTTATACTAGAATATTTACTAATTTAACAATAAACTTACCATCTTTACCATCTTTACCATACGAAAAATCATATGGTTATAATCAAAGAGATGCTATTGATACTATCAATAACAACGAGATATTAAATGAAATTTATATTAACAATGACACGATTATAAAAAATAATATTTATAGTGCTTTAATTAAACAGATTTGGAAAGAGTACGAACTAAATACAATTGATTTAACAAAGCTATACATTCACTCTGGTATTATAAATGCTCAAAAACAAAATCTAGTTATTATTATTCCTCCTAACTTGAAATCTTTAAAAGTTTTTAATTGTCAATCATCAATTGATATTTCAAAATGTCACTTAAAAGAAATACAGTTTCGTGACTATAAAGGAAAACCTCTAGAAGTTAATGATGATAATTTAGAAGTATTTGAAATTAATTCTAGTCAACAAGTAAAATGGTATCATAACGGTACATTACTTAAACAAGATGAAATCTTTTTAGATGCAAACAAAATTACTTCATTCAAAATTACTTATTCAAACCATTTTATAAATGATCTAAATAATAATACAAAAACTATCGTTTTTAAATATAATGATAAGGAGACCATATTAAATAAAATTCAATTTTTTGATTTTGAAGGATATTATATTGACTTTTCATGTGTTAACAAGCAAATAGATTTTAGTGAATATCCTTTTGATTCTATTAATATACAGGAATCTCATATTAATAATTTAAAAGTAAACTGTAATTCAATGGATTTAAATAATGTTGAATGTGATAATTTAATTATTGATGGAATTTGTGATAATATCAACTTCGAAGATTGTAAAATAAATTCAATAAGATGTAATATTATCAATAGTTTGAATTATGTCAGTCAGA